ATTTAAAAAAATGACATTTATGTATGCTGTATGCATTTAGTCCACTCCAAAGTTGTGAGTCTGTTCCAGCCAAAAAGCTGTCTTTAGTTATTAACATTTGAAACGATGAAGGCACGTGAAAGTAACACAAAATTAGCTGCTTTTCCAGAAAAAGACAAAAACTTCTCAGAAGTACGTAAGGTTTTATGAGGTTTTCCCACCCAGGCTTCTAGACTTCTGATTGGCCAACATTTCTACACGGTTAAGATTTGGCGTGTTCTTGACAGCGTTTCACTTTGTTTTTAGCGTTTACATGTGGAAGGAGATATTTTTTCAAAACTGCACATGTGGACTGGATTTTTTTTCTTTTTTAAACAAAATAGGAAAACGTGCGTTGGCAAACATAGCCGTGTACGTTCGGACGCAGCCTGAAGTCATCATCACAAAAAAAGCAAATTCTCTGAACATTCTTAGTTGAGGTTTACTGATCATTGTTGTTTTGTGTTCCTTGTAGTCAAAATGAGTGCAAGTGGAGACGGACCACAAAATAACCAAAACGGTAAGCACATGTGCTCAGTCTTGAAATTGATGAAAAACAGATTTTCAGCAGATAGTTATGGATGTTAATTAAAAGATTTAACGATCTTGCAGGCCAACAGGTTAACCCACAAAGGTTTGCAAATGGAGATCAGCAACCTGCTAATGAACCAGTTAATGGAGGCTTCGTGAGCAATCTGTATCTCGCTCTCCGTGATATTCGTTGGTTTCTGCATGAGCTAATAGCTTCAGTACTGGAACAATATGATGACCTCTACGGTAGCGATGACGATGACAATGACAACAATGTCAACGCTCAAAATATTAATGTGAGGGACAATAATGCCAATGCTGACAACAATGAACAGCACCAGGATCGTAATGCTGTGGTTGGTGGCATTGAAAATGAGGCATTTGAAGACCGTGTGGATGTTCACCAGTACATCCCAGAAGAGGACCCTCAGCCAGGTGTTTCCAGGAGGAGGTCTAGAGAGATGGATGAGGAAGATTTGGAACCAAACAAAAGAATCAGATGGAGCGATGATGACTCTGACTTCTTCTCTGCCTCTGACACTGATAGCGAGGGCTGTCCTCATGCTGGTAATATTGCCGATGAGGACATCAATCGGCAGGTAACAGAAGAAGCACCGCAGCCTGGTGGATCCACGAAAAGGTCCAGAGAGGAAGATGTAGACGAAGAAGAGCGTAGTAGCAAAAAATCCAGGCTTGCAAACTCTGATTCGGGGACCAGCTCAACTGTGTGCGACCACTCTGAGAGCAGCAGTGATGGACTTTTTGAAGATGCACACGAAGAGCTTGACAACCATGAAGCTGGAGGCTCGAGGAAGCGTTCCCGAGAGGACTTTGAGGAAGAAGAGGAATACTTGCCTGTTTGCAAACTTCGGAGGTGTTCAAATGAGTCCAGCAGCAGCAGTGATGAAGACTAACACTATTTCGACGGGTTTCTTCAGTATCCTTTTAGTAGGCTGATGGCCTACTCAGGTGACCCTGAATCCTCCATGCTGCAATAAGCTGGGCATACACTGTGCGATTTCTTTCAGTCGCGTTATTCAGCTCCTGCTCAAACTGTACGATTGACTCGCAGGGGTGAGAAGTTTGTGCCTCCATCGCTTGTGTCCCGATCACACGCCGCACGGCCGTTCTACTCCGTCTCTTCGCTCTCATTTCTGCGTTTGCGCGTGCGCGGTGTGAGGCGCTGCGGTGACACCCTCAGGACGACCCACAGGATTTCAAGCAGGTTTGATTTTCTTACGATTTCTTACGACCAGCTCCTGATTGGTGATCGGGAGCTGGTCGTGAGGTTTTAATCGCTTCTCTTACCCTCGTTATGTAGACGCTGGAGTCGTGAGGTTTTAATCGCTTCTCGTTACCCCGTTACCCTCGTTATGTAGACGATGCACGACACACGATCAAGGCCAAACTCGGGACGATCCCCAAAACGATCGCACGACTGAAAAATCGGCTCAAAATGGGCCAAAAATCGCACAGTGTATGCCCAGCATTAGGCTGCCGGGGGATTCCCATGATGCACTGGGTGTTTCTTCTTCACCCACTATGTTTAATAGACCTCTCTGCACTGAATGGTACTTGTTATTAACCTCTGTCTCTGTTCCATGTCTTTATACTATTTTCCTTGCCCTCTCACCCCAACCGGTCGCAGCAGATGGCCGCCCCTCCCTGAGCCTGGTTCTGCTGGAGGTTTCTTCCTGTTAAAAGGGAGTTTTTCCTTCCCACTGTCGCCAAAGTGCTTGCTCATAGGGGGTCATATGATTGTTGGGGTTTTCTCTCTGTATACTTACAATAAGCGCCTTCAGGCGACTGTTTGTGTCGATTTGGCGCTTATTAAATATTAATTGAATTGAAAATTAAATAGATGTCACTGTGATGATTTCTTCCCTGCATAGAAAGCTTAGACCCAAATGCAGATTCAATGCACATGGTTAAACTATTTATGAGACTTTGTTTAAAGAGAGGGAATGGAGAACGTGGCTCGAGCTAGGAGTGTCAGCAGACAGCAGGAACCAGAGGAAAAGCTATCGAGAGACTGAACACCTGGCTGCTGATGGGAACAATCCAACGGGAATTCTGCAACAGAGGGAGAAGAAGTTGCTGGACGGGTAAGGGAGTTTGAGGGTAGGATGAGTATGTTGGCAGAGGAGACCTAAACACAGGGAAAACAAGGTTAAACACAGGGAAGGAGCACGCCAGAACTGGAGCAGAGGGGAAGCCTAGTTACCACTGGAGATGGCAGAACAAACTGGCGAGGAGTAGCAGGCAGCGCTGGTTTAAGAAGCCCTCCTGCTGATTGTTTGCAGATGAGGCCCAGGTGAGATGCTGGAAACTCCACCTCTGAAGTGTGGACACAGTATCCCCATTCCAAGTGGAAAAGCCCCTCAGACACTTCCATGGTGCATGACAAGAAGGATGAGAAAGCATTCATGGTCCATCCATCCCTCCGTCAGCGTAATGCCTAAAAGTTTATTCAGATGTAAATGTATTACATTTTTTACATGTGACTGAGACCTGACAACTTTTTTCCTGAGACCTGACGATGTCCTAAAATGTATGGCCTCCATGCATCGAGTTGATGCTGTAGGGATCTTCAAACGGATCACAGAACTAGGCTGTGTTGTGCGAAGAAGCTACTCGGTGCGAGGCCCTCTCTCCCTGGTCCACATAGACACAAATCACAAGCTAATAAGGTAAAATACCCACTTATATAGCTCTAACACAAGTTGGGCAGAAAGATGCACGTTATACTTTAAATCTGCTTTAATCAACCTTATCTGATAGGTCTTTCAGTGTAGGGCTGCTCAATTAATCGAATTTTAATCACGATTACGATCTGGGCTTTCAACGATCATTAAAAATGACTGAGCCGATTATTAGCCCCTCCCTCATTTATCCGCGACACCTTAAAGGCCGGTCCGTGAAAATATTGTCGGGCATAAACCGTCCGTGGCGCAAAAAAGGTTGGAGACCGCTGATTAAGAGGACCCGAGGGAAGCTCGGAAAGCTAAGCAGAAGTTATTTGGAGAGTGACTGCCGTTGGTTGAAAAGAGAGTTTAAAAAAAAAAACTTCAGTGGTGTTGCACACTATTTTATATTATTTTTTAAAGTCATTGTTAACCCTTTAAAGCCGGTCAGAGCAGCACGCTCCGTTTTGCGTAACTATTTTTAAATCCCTGTAGAACCTGAACCGTGTAAGCTAGCGCAATAATTTGTTTTGCATATGAAACCGGAGGAGTTGTACTTACATCTGATGCCATCAGCTTGTCCTCGGTCACGGTTTCGTTCCACATATAGCTTTGCAAAAATTGCATAAAAAGCGCTTGCAGGAACAAAAACATAATATTCCAGAAACACGCTTTGCCGATCCTATCAGCTGTTCGTAACACTTCCCACAGTGAAATGATGCACCATGCTGTTTTCTTTGCAAATTTGCATCATAGGATTGTTTTTTGTTTTTCCTGCAGTATATAAAAATTGCTGTATCTCCAAAATAAAACTATGAAGACACTCAAAATAAATTTCCTGTGTGGTGAAACTATTTTTTGCAACTTTTTGTATTTAAAGTTTTGAGGGATAACCTCTTAAATTTCTCCAAGTAGAAATATATGTAAACAAAACAAAAACGATTTTCAATTTTTTTGTAGTTTATTGCACTTTTTTGCAATTAATGTAGTTACTATGGACTTAATGCATACATATTATTAAAATATGGGCTATAACAGTTGTATTGATGAAGCAACTTGAAATGCTCCCACAAATGGCACTACAACATGTAAAAAAAATAATATAAGCTCTGGCGGACTTGGTTCTATAGGTAGGTCTTAAAGGGTTAAATAAATATCGTCAAATAATCGAGATCTCAATTTCAGTGAAAATAATCGTGATTATCATTTTTGCCATAATCGAGCAGCCCTATTTCAGTGTATTTATAATATTTTAAAAAGCACTTGATAGAGTAATATTAAGTAAAGGGAATACAGGATGTGTAACATAACCAGTAATATTGTTAATTGTAAATTTTCTTGAGCAATTATTTACACTTTGTATATCGATATTTTCCATGATAACAAGCCTATCAACACATAATACGGTAAGTGCTCCAGAAAATCATGACAAGAGAACTAAAATATTTAGTCTCATTGAACTTATCCACTTTCACATCTAAAAATGCTGGTATTATTTTCAGCACACCTGACAAGTGTCCAGTTTAAATCAGTGGCAAGTGTGCGTATGAAAAATGTATTTTCAATGTCTTACATGTTCTGCAAATCAACAGGTACAATGTTGTGATCTTTGGTGGAGTGGATGGCTACTCAAGGAAGGTAAAATTGTAACTGTTATGTAGAATATTTGGTAGTTTTGAAATGAGAGCTTTATTAGGTTATTTTTTTATGAACATCAATTATTCAGCAAGCCAACGTAGTGGACAATTTGCATTTTTTAAATTTCTAATCAGTTCTTTACAAAGAAAAGGTTCAACTAAAAGGCCATTTTCATTTTTTGATAAGTACTACCAATATTGATGTATAGACTACTCAAGCTTTGAATTATGGTAATGAACATAGAACCGTACAATATTCCTTGAACACTTATTATGAAACTGCATTATTAACTGAAAAACTATACATGATCTGAAACCAGATCTTTAATTTTCCATTTGTTTTTACTGCAGGTCCTGTACTTGGATGCAACAACTAACAACAGGGCAAAAACTGCATTCTCATTTTTCCTGAGATCAGCCCAGCTTCACGGCTTGCCATTAAGGTTTTATGCCCTGATTAAATTTATATGCTAGCAACAAGTTTCATTAAAGAAAACTTTAAAAATTCCTTCAAAATGTATTTTTATCATAGGGTTAGGGCAGATCAAGGAGTAGAAAACCTGGACATTGCACATTTCATGTTTGCCACAAGAGGAACAGGGAGAGGGAGTTTCATATCTGGAAAGAGTGTCCACAATCAGAGGTTAGTCTTTTGATGTTTTTTATATTATTATTGACTGCATGGGTAGATTGTTGTAGCAGTTCTGATATTGATTTGAAGCATGAAATACCTGAAATTCAAATGTATTTACAGAGTAGAACGACTTTGGCGTGATGTCTGGATTGCAGTCACTAGCAAGTACCATGATATTCTTCACTCACTCGAGGAGGATGGCCTGCTTGACATTTCAGATGTCATTCATCTCTTTGGTGTCCACTACGTCTTTGTCCCTCGACTCCGAGCAGATCTTGTCACCTTTGTTGGAGGATGGAATAATCATCCCCTCAGGACAGAAGGTGGTCTCACTCCTGAACAGCTCTGGTGTATGGGACATCTACAAGAGCTGGACGATGGCGAGAGACTTGAGGTACCAGATCATAATCTGATTTTTTTTGATTTATTTAAATGTTGAATTTCAAAATTTTAGTTAGCAGTTAACTCTGCTCTTCTGAAATTAACAAATTAAACACTTGTAGCACATCTGGGAGATGCTTCTGGTGATTTTATACATTCTTGCTTATCAATTACTACTAATCTAAATTACAGTAAGAAGAACATGAAAACAAAGACATTCTTTTTAAATTGTTGTATTTAATGGAAAAAAACGCTTACACAAAATAACATAAAATAACACAATATCTGAAATCCCTCTGTTGTTAATTAGTTTCCTAGATTATCCATTAGCATGCACACTGTGTGTTAGAGGCTTGTTTTGCTAGCTAGTTAGCAGTGCCATACACCTGTTACTCTAACAGTCTGTATTTTTGAGTGATGCAGCACTCCTTACTTGTTTTTTTATCCTTTTTAGACAGATATGACATCAGCTGCACACTCCACAGAGGCCCAGAGTTACTGTTAATATCAGAAATGTAATGTTGTCCTTTAGGATTTTAAAATAAGACTGAGGATGATATAAAACTGAAGATTTAAACAGTTTTAGATCCATTACACTTACAGAGCACTCTACAGCCTGCTAACATGGAAACTTTAAATTAAAAACACAGCAGAAGGTTTCATGGAAGTGTAATTTATTCTTTTCATTTAATAATAGAGTCCACAATATTATCAACAGCTACGTCCACCCTGGGGGGAAACTAGTGAGGGAGACCATCAGGACCAAACTGGGTTTCCTGGATCCAGAGGTTTGGGGAAACCTCCTCCCTTTCTTTCATCACAGCTGTCCTGTGCCAGATGTTCTGTTGACCCACTGAGAGAGGCATCATTTCAGAAACATCCGGAAGACTGAAGGTCATTAAAAATCATTCAGACTGGTTTTTTTACCTGAATGTTCGAAACAAACTTTTTTTTTTTTTAAAAACAGTGCTGAAAAAGTCATCAGTGGTTAAATTAAAAATAAATTTCAACTTAAGCTGCCAAACAGCCGTAGTTGGTGTCAGTACATAAATATTGGGCTTTGCTATTTTAGTTCACAGACACACTGTGTAACAAACTGCACTTTCCTATCACGTCTGTGTGTTTGCTTGTGCTTAAATTATGTCAGATGCTAATTTCAAGTACATGTTCATTTTGTCTATTATCATCTCATTAAAGTAAGAAAACGTCTCCAAATTTCTCAAGTACATTGACTCTTCACTTATTACATCCTGTTTCAAAACACTGATGGCAGCAGTAAAACTTCAGCTTGAGACATCACAAGAATTTACAAAGCAACACATAATGCACAAGTGGGAACTTGGAGAAGTAAATACTAGTATGAAATATGCATCCAGTCTCTTCTAGTTATCCTTACCAGGGTTGCGGGAGGAGTAACATGAAATGGTTTTATAAGACATGAAAGAATAAAGAAGTCTTGTCTCAGTTTCAGTTTTCATACGGGTAGAAGGTTTAAGATAGGACTTGATTATAGAGGACTGGACTGAGGTTCCAGTAATGATAAATGATCATTTAATTGATTTCATCACGTAAATATTATTTGTCACATCTGGAAACCACATTGAATTTAAGAAAATGTTGCTGTTTTTGTTGTGTGTATGAATATGAAATAGTTATTGCTAAATGACACTGAAGTGTCACTTTTTGTTAAGTTCAAATGTAACAAAGTTAAAAATTGTTATACGTGGACGTATGGGAGAAGACTGTAATTATATAGTGGTTCTTTAGTTTTAAAATAAAATGCAAAAGCCCTGGCATCGTCTCAGTGACGACACTGGGTCATAATTAGCAGACATCATGGACTCGATCATGGACACATCACTCACCCAAATCAAGCAGAAAGCATCTTTTGTTTCTTTTCTCTGCCAGGATCTGTTCTTGAGAACATATATTGCATTTTATTCAGGTTGCTGCCTTCAGCACATCTGTATAACTGTATAACACATCTGTATAACTGTGTTGCATACATATAATTGTTGTAAGTGATGATGATAAATTCAAAGATGTCAGGTGTTGCCGTGTCAGTAATGCTGTATGCCTCTTGCAGACTAACAACACCAACACTTGTAATGATGCTTTATTCAAATTTATTGTCACTCAGCGACAAACAGCTACATGTTACTGATCTATGAAATCAATTCCTCTGCAGTCACTTCCAGGATTAGCCTTTGAAGTCATTCTGTTGCATTCAGACTGATGAATATTTACCACACTGTAAAGTTCAGGATAATTTGCTGATATGGGCTGGGAATGATACAGCCGATACCTGCAAACAGTTCAGTATTAGAAATATTCAATAGATGTATCAATAAAGTATGATAAGTTGAATACAACAAGAAATGTTATGGAACATTTTACAGTGAGCTTACCAACTTTGGTTGGTTTGAATTCACTGTTTGTGACATTGGCCAGCAGCTGCCAGTAGGTACGAGCTTCATTATTCCCAGCCACGCCATTCACACTCTCCAGATATGGCCCATAGTTATCATTGTCACTGTAGGTGAATTTGTGAGAAAGAAAAGACCTTGTAAATGATCAACAACAGCAGTCAGGCTCAGTATTTGAGCTCACTTCCTCAGCAAATTTCCTGTTACGTGGCAGCTGTGTTTGCATTTCTTCTTTCTTGTTCGGACTAACGTGGTTCGGGTGAGGGAACGTTATGAGGTGTTATGTATGTGTAACATGACGATGAAAGTCATCATGTATAAGAGTATAAACAGCCACTTAAAGTTAGAAACGGCCAAAGACAAAACACTGACCATCAGTTTTGAAAACAAACAGCAGCCTTCCTGTCCCAAACATCACCAAGACGTGCTCTCAGTGCTGAGTTATGGCTCTGCAACTACATCAGCTCAGTATAATTAGTATGGCTGCTACGGGTCACTCTAACTTCAAAGAAAGTGTATATCCGATTGGTTAATTTGGGTAGACGATTGATGTCCAGATAATCTCAAATACTTACTATACAGAAGATCCTTATGTCACCAAAGTGGTGTTTTTTTAAAGCTACATGTTTGGCAATTGGCTATCATAGATTTTAAAAATACAATTAATTTCAAGTCCAGATTAAAAACCTATTTTTATTCCCTGGCTTTTACTGTGTGGGTCACTGACATTTTTATTGCTATGTTTGGTTTTTGCTATTTTATTACTATATTTATATTTGGTTTGTAGAGCACTTTGGTCTATCAGGTGTGTTTTTAAAGTACTATATAAATAAACGATGATGATGATGAAATTATTCGGTGAGCAGATTGGAGTAGAGGAGAGTAAGGCATGGATCTGACTCAGAAGCTGAAGGCCTTTTCGGGGCATGTAACAGACACACAGGTCCAATGTGTCCATTTCACACTTTTTCTCTCCAGAGTTTGAAATACATGCACATGCAAAAGCTGAAATACCAGCAGGAGGAGATAATGTATCTAAAGCCATAAAGTGCTAGTGACCGAAGAAGGTATGAAGTCCTTTCCAGGGTGATGTTAGAAACAATTATGCTACGTGGATGATATGTATTTACATGTGTGTTTAAACACTTTCCCATGATTATTTTGGTGTTGGCTTGAAATAAACTATCACTCTCTTCTGGTACTGAAGCTTACTGCAATGTACTGGAGCTACGTGCATGTCTGTGGAGAGGCAAAGCGTGAAATGGACACAGTGGACTGGCGTCTCTGTTACACTCTTTCCTGTGATACTGGGTTGGACTGTCAATTAAATGGCAGCAACACCCTAATGTACACCCTGCCTCATCTGTTGTAGTCTACGTTTTATTGGAAAGAGGATGTATTGAAACAGGCTTAAGCTATAAATTGTAAATGTGGATAAATCTGACAACAGGATTAGCAACTGTCATAACAGATACCATTTCATATTTTTTTTAAAACAATGTACTGCATACTAGTATTTTACTGCCTTCTGTGACGATGTGTTCTGTGGAATCTGTAACTAAACTCAGTAATGATGTGACAGTTGATAACAACATACTGACACGAGGAGAGGAGTTAAACAGTTGCAAAGCTGCCACAGACAGTCCTTCAGTGCAAAATGAAAAGCTGCAAATTTCATTCAAAATATGGTGAGCGTCATATTGGGATTAAGGCATGGTTCCATGATGTTCTGTGCATATCTTAGTATATTAGATGTATGTACCAGATTCCATAGATGTATGTTAGCCATAGTTGCTCAATGGAGATTACATGTCCTTTAAAACATCCTAGCAGTTATAAGATTATTAAAATTCTTGTGTCAACATAAATTTCTGCATGTAAATTAAAAGACTGAGGTTCCAACTGATGCTGTTATCTCACTTGAAGCCTGCATTGGAGCTACTGAGTCTCTTCATCGCACCCAGCAGGATCCCCCCACTAATCACTTCAGTCTTGTAGGTTTGTAGAGGTTTGTTTTGTAAGGTGTTCTTCACCATTATAGCCATGGGAATCATTATCATTATAAATGAGCCACAGACAAAAGGTTAAAAATAGATATTAAATGATAATGACAGTCATTCTAATAAAAATTACACTTATTGTTATGAAACTTACCTTCAGTCAAAGTCCAAGGAAGCAGTGAGAGCAACAGGGCTGCAGAGAGGAGAGAGGGCATCATTGTCATCATGGCTGTTAGGAGTTCGACTTCACTGATGATGATGCTCACTCCCCATGTTTTATTTCACTGATCAGTGTTTACATACAGACTTTATTGATCTTGGTTTGAAAAAGCAAACAAAGTTATCCATTGAACCAACTCTAATGTCACCTTGAGTCCTTGTTGTGAAATCATGTTTGAACTGATAACTTTGTAACTGTACAATGAACAATGACGTACCAACATGCTGCATCATGTGCCAACATCAGTGAACTCTGACCTTTCTGGATTGGAATTTCTGTTTTTTAGCATTGCTTAAACTTTGTGCACATCAGCAAGAAATAAAAAGAAAACAACAAAAGTGTAAAAATGACAGTTTTACAGGGTTTTTATTAAATTATTATTTCTGTACCCTTAATATCTTGGATATTTTGTTTTTGTTTCACAATGCCTATCTACATAAATGAATGCTGCTTGACACTTCAGTCAACATCAGGAATCTCATTTGTTCTAAGAAACATGAGACAAGGGAAAACAGACAACCTGACAATGAACAAAAGGAAGCAGAGGACTTAAATACACAGAAGGGTAATGATGGAAGTGTAAACACACAGTGAACACAGCTGACACTAACACAGCTGACAGTCATTCTGGAAAAGGAAAGTTGATCCTGGTTTCATCGTCAATTCAATTCAATTTTATTTATATAGTTTGTTTTTTGATTCTCTCCAGATTCTTTTAGATCTTTATCGG